GAGCGAACGTCACTTTCTCGAACCGTCCATACACGCCCTTCGCCAATAGATGTCACTTTCACAGGGCAAGAGACGCGCCTCGGTTTCCGGAACACCGTTCGATGGATTTTAATTTACGAATAAATTCACAAACGAGATACAAAGATTTGCCCAACGTCCATGTCGTGGAAAAATAATTCCAATCGAAAGAAGAGGATGTTTCAGTCGGGGAAATACCGCGAGACGAGCGAATTAATTAATTTCCGGACGTTCCTCGTTCCTCGTACGAAATTCCGATACGGTGAGGTTCACCGACACGAGGAAAAAAAAACAATTCGACGAAACTCTCTTTGTTCGCGCTGACTCCTACACTGTTGATCGTCGACGATTCGCAATTTTTATTATAATGCATCGTACGTACGCGTACAGGGCTTATCGCGTTTGCTATTCGACGCGCGTCTGCCGTGGCGCAGCGGGACGCGTACGAGTTGCGTTTTTGTTCGTTAAACTTTTGACGTCACCGGCACGTGCGTTTTTGGTTTAACGGTGCTTAATTAGCCACGCCGACGGCAACGATTTTCAATCAATTCGACCGCGAGGGGAAGGTAAAACGAATCAATCGATAACGTAATCATACGTCGTTGCAATTTAGATCTACAGTCGGAGTTACCAACTTGCTCTTACTTTTTTTCCAAGTTTTCGAAATTTAAAATAAATAACTATTCAATTTTATTGGTTTGTTCGGGGTGAAAACTGAACGAGGCAAAATTGTAACGCAACGAATTAGGCGAGACTGTTTGATGTGCCGCCTCTGCCAATAGGAAGGTTGCAAATTACGTAACCAACAGACATTCAAAATTGGTTCCATGTGCGACATCTGTTTCTAAGGCTCTCGGTTCTCTTTGTGCGCCTTTAGCATACGTAAACAAACGTACTGCGCGAATGCATCGCGCATTTATTTACGTTTCGTATCTAGCAATGGTAGTTTTGCTGTTATGGTTTATTTTCATCGACACTTGAAATTATTGAATAAAAATTTGTTTCGAACGAGACACTGTTTTCTGAAAACTCGATCCAAGATCGCGAGGTTAGGAAACGCGGAACAGGAAATCGAGTTCGACGCGAAGATTTTATCGGAACGTATCGCGAGTCGAGTTTTCGAGTCCGCGATCAGAATTTTATGCCAACTCCGCGTATTTGCTAAAAATATATTGTTATGTCAGGCGTGTTCCCTGCGATTCGAAAATACGACTGTAAAATTACATCGATTTTTTTCCTCGAACATTGTATTCGCCAGCGTTTCGAAGATTGTTTTTTTTTAACGTTCGACGAAAAGCGAACACTAACGTTCGAGAAATCCGTTCCGCGAAAAGAAACATGGCGGGTACAGAGGCGTCGCGTTTCGAAATGGGTGCACGAAAACACGCGCGGCATGCGGCTTTGCCAACAGCGTACAAAATTACAAACTCTGTTAAACATCAACGACCGAACGACAGGAAGAAATTCTTGCGACGCCGTGCCGGTACAACGAAACTTTTCCTGAACACGATACGTCTGTGACTGTACGAGAAAACTCGTCTTGAAGTCGACTCCAGTGGGTCGTGTTGCCTTTTTTCATTGAGAAACATACTCGTGACATACTCAACGTCAGACTGTTTTTTTTATTTACCGTAAATTTGGTAACTTTCAAAATTTATTTCGTGTTTTCGAACTTTGGATCTCGAGGATCTTATCGGGGCTCGCAACTACATACGATTTGACACGCAGATAATTTTAGAACGATAACGCGAGACTAATCTAAAATAATCGAAAGATTCCTCGGTATCTCGCAAAGTGAAAGACGAAGTAAAAGTTAGGAAAAAAGTAAACAGCGATATAAATGGTTATTTTAAGACACACGACCGGTTCTCACGTGTTACGAGAGGTATCGATGAATTCCATCTTCATCTTCTTCTTTGAACGGTTCCGAGTTTAATTGAGAGCTCGTTGTATTGGTTCACATCGACAAAGTAAACGTTTACCCGTCAGCCCGTTATTTACCAGTGTCCTATTTAGAGGTAATTCAAGAAAACCACTCGAATCGTCGATGAAATAAAAAATCGAAATTTCGATTCGTGAAGACTGTTCTCGCAGTCGGGATTTATTGGACCCTCGAACAAAATTGCTAAAAAAAATATTTTATTATCGAAGGAGAAACGGAATTCTAAGTTGTAAAAAAGCAATCGTTCGGAAGATTTACTTTTCGAGGGCAATTCAATCGAGAACGTCCCGTCGTATATTTGAAATCTGCATAAAACCGTAGGATAAATTTCGATGTCGAGGATCCCGATTTTTCTCCGACGATAAAGCTGACCGTATGTCGAAAAATTCGAGGGGGAAACCGTCGAATATTAATGACCGGCGATCGAACCGTTACCAGTATGAGAAACGAAGAGAAAATGAAAAAGAAAAGTATCTCGTGGGGAAAAATGCATCATGATTGGATTACCAACGTGGAACGTACGTAGTTGGCAATTTTTTCTAGAGGAAACGGAAGGTTGTGGATGCGTCCTAGGATCGACCCAATTTTCTCGGTAAATTTTCGTCGTCAGCGGAAAAAAGTGGAGCCTGGTCACCGAGGCGGAGATATCTTTTTCTGGGGATAACAATACCCCCGTCCGTGACAAAAACCCGAAATTCTTTGAATCGTCTAACAAGGTTCTCCGTTCTCATTTCCTGCAAAAGTTCCACCCGTCTCTGAATTAAAATTCAACGCGGCACACTTCATATTGTACACGTCTCATATTTGCTATATAACGTAAAATTTATTTTCTGAAATATCGTCCAAGGTGTTTCTAATGACAAGAACAATTAAAATGAAATATTACAGGTATCGGATACAATCACGGTGACATAATCAATATCTCACGATCTTTGAATTAAGATTTTATTTCGATGACTTTTTATGCCGTGGAACGAATTTGTCATTTATATCGATAGAAAAAGATTTAAGTAAGCCTAGTGGAAGATATCGCAGCCTGATTTATTCGAATAGATAGTAATATTTTTCAAGTAGTAACAAATACATTAATTCGACGTAAATCTAGATAGTTATCTCAGCGATGACTTTATTAATGCTAAATCAATGCCATAAATCCACGAATTATTGTACCGCAGGTTTACAGAAGTTATTACGATATTCAATGTCGATGCGCCGAACTATAACAACATTTATAACGGCAATAAAATCATTGTTTAGTTTGTAATAAAACGGTTGGGTAATCGTACCGCGAAGGTTACTTTTGTTATGGCGATTAAACGATCGAAACATTGGAATCAGGTGATGCCGGTAACCATAGAACGACGTGAATGTTGATAGTCGTTCTAGGAAGCTACAATCAGTAATCGAAAGGCTAATCGTTAGATTAAATGACCAACAACCAGTAGGGAAATATTCTATCATTACACTTCGTCTCGCATTACACGCGCGAGTGACGAATAATATGAGAAGAAAACAAATTTAACGAGCCTTTAGCAATTTCATAATTATGTATTGGAGTTTCCTACGAAACAGATATCTATAGACAAAGGTGATTATTTTTAAAAGATGAATATAGTAAGTAAACGTAAACTCTTAATCATTTATTTATCCATTAGAAGTCGGTATATACATATATTCTCATACACACTATAGAAATAAACACGATAAATTCAGAGGGATAAAGTTACGAAAAAGTACGCCGACGTTGAAAACAAAGATGTCGGCGTTCCGACCTTCCGAAACGGTCCGCCTCGAGCACCTTTATTGTCATGGCCGTTCGGTTCCGCTCGATTAAAGCCACTCTTGGAGTTTAAACGAATGGTAAACGGAAATCGAATCGAACTTTCGCGATTGGAGACGTTTAGAGAAATCGCCAATCCAGCGATGAATCTGCAGAAAAATTGCCTCGCGTTTGAGGGACTCGGCATGCATCGAAGATCGAAAACACGCAATAAATCAGACGAAGCGCTCGCTTCCGGTAATCCACGATGCTCGTGTTGGGAAGAGATCCGTCGATAACGCGAGAAAAGCACTCTCACTTTTCAAACCGATGGAAAGAGAAATATTCGAAATCATCTTTCGCGCGTGATAGAAAAGTTTCGTTCGATCAGCGTCCGTGTAATAACCGTTACGCAGCAACATAACCGTTTCTGGAAGCGCGCGCGCGTATTATTTTACGAGAATGCTTTTCGTCGAACATAACCTAAACAACAACGCGTACGAATTTCGTTGATAAAAGCATGACGTTCGTTATTAGCCATGTCGTTATCAAGGATGGTAAATGCGACTGAGAACTGACACGATTTACTCGACTGGATTATGACATCAACCGTCGTGTCGACTTGTCCAAATATTTGCTCGATGCACCTGTTTCGTAATTTCGTTCACGAAATCAAATCCTCTATCGTAATCGTTCGCCGACGCACGGTGACATAACGCAACGAATAATAATAATAAAACGGATGTTTGCTTTCTTGTCGATAAAATATGGGGGAGCAGGAATGCCCATTTGGCACGAAACACCGCGCCTCCTGTCGAACGAACTTTATTCTATTTTTCTACCATCGATAACAGAACGAATGGACGATTCGAATAACAAACGAGAACGGAATTGCAACAGGGACGATTTGTTTTCGCTTCAAATTTATTCGTTTCGTAAAGAAAAGGTAACTTCGAAAACTGATCGCGTTCGAAATTATCGATCATCGAACGATCGAGTTTGGAGCATAATTTCAATTGAAAAATTGTTGGAATACGCCCATCCCTGGCAATGTGTCGCGCCTACCTTTTCATAGAACATAAGTGCATCGTGCGTCCGGTCTGCGTAAAATCCAGTTAGTCGAAAACAAAACTAAAACACGTTGACCACTAGCCGCGATTCAAATGCGAAATTCGTGTTTCGATAACGGTCCACGGAGAACTTACAAACTCGTTGTATTTCCCGAGAGGCACTGAGAGGAGTAGCACGCAGAATATAGCACACAATGTAAACGATAAATACCTGCCAACCGAGTCAGGTACGAATATATTCCACCAGGAGGGTCTCTTCTGTCTGGCTTGCGTGTACAGGCCATCGGCGCTGCCGACTTGCGTCGGGATACCGGCGATGCCCTTCCTCCTTTTGCGATCGACTTTCGGAGGTTTCGCCAGCGGATGCCAAGACTTTCTGCGACCCTTCTTCCCTTCGAGATCCGCCTTCACGCGTTCGTTCTCGACAACGTCCGGATTCTCTTCCAACAGATCCTGCGACACGTAGAAAACCGAGCCCCTTCTGCCCCCATCGCTGCCGCGTCTCTTTTCTTTCTGCACCAATTTCGCGTTCTCTTTTTCCTCGACGACACTACCACGCCGTGCCCTTTGGAACAGACTGTCCCTACGCGCCTTCAGGTCCTCGAGCACGCTGTGTCTCCTTCCCTTATTGTCACGCAAGATAGCGCTCGCGTCCCTTTTGCCAACGGCGCCGATCAGCTTCGCCAACGACGTGTCCTCCTCCATCATCGACGGTATAGAGTTCGTGGACGCGTATTTGGTGGCCGAGTGACCATTATTGTGCGGCTCGTTGCTGATGTACATGTTGCTTTCCATGCTACGCGACGAGACGACGATCGTGATCTATCACCGTATCCACCCGTTATATCACTTGTAAACACTCGCGAACACTGAACAATTGATATGTAATCCACCCAACACGGCAACCACCTGATCCCGCAGCGATCTCAGCTGAGACTCGGAATCATTTTCCCGGAGGGGGGGTCGTCGGTCCGTTCGAAGGGAAATACGGAAGGTACGAGTCGCGTACCGTTAAGGCGCGATCGACATTATTCCATTGCCGGTGAAAGCAGCCACGGCGGCGTACCGAGTGACCGCCTTTTCACTCCTCGTGAAACGTGCCTTGCTACGGGCGCACGAACACGCGCGTATATATACCCGCCGACGGAGCTGTGTGTTCGCGTCGACCGGACTTGTCCCGCGGAGGTAGGTAACAGAGGAACGAACGCTCGAGCGCGAGATCTACGGAACAGATCGTTGACCCGAAGGAGAATCGCGCGAAACCGGCCAACCGAGCCTTCTCGTGCTTTTTGCCGCGATCGTTCGTTTTCTTTCTTTTCTTATAGGTCGAGCCCTTTGCTGGAAACTCGTTCCCGACCGGCTTAGAGACGTCAACCGTTTCGACCTTTGCTTCGTCCTCGAGCCGAGAGAGGTCCTGTTGTCTCGTGTCGCGAACGAACCACGCTAACCGTATTCCCGTCGTTTTGCAACGCGACGCGCACGAAAAGAACAAAACTTTCTTCGGAGAACGATCACCAGGGCGACGAAACTGTCTCGATTTTCCGCGATTTCCTTCGACGAGACTTCTTATTAGGCGTCGCTTCCGTCGATCCTGGGTAGGGGAAACGCTTTCAGGTTAACGACTCGACTTTCCGATAGCGGCGGCCAGCACCGCGCCAACCGTTCCTCTTCTAACACTGCACGACCATCGAGGAAAATCTGGCCCGGCCCGTCGAGGCCGGCAACGTCGGACACCCGTCCTTTTTCATTACAGTGTTGCTCGACGATCTCCAACGATTTTTTTCCCCCCCAACGACGAACGGCACGCGATCTTTTGGTACTCGACGCGCGAGACTGCTTTGCTGGGCCACTTTCTCTCACTTTGTTTGTTTTACGTTTCTTTTGTATTGTACTCTCGCGACGGTTGGGATCGACCGTGATAACGACAACCAGTTGCGATAAATCGGGATCGAGGCACACTCGAATCGACAGACCGTCACCAAGAATCGAGTATCGCAGCGACTAAGCGAGAACCAAGCCGACTGCTTGTATTTATACACGTCGAGGCACTCGGCCGAGACTGTCTCCTCGGGCGCATCCCCCACCTCCGGACCAAGTACCCGACATGAAGAAACACGCACGATTTTGCGGTCTTGCGGATTGTTCCTCGCGTGCTTGGGGATGATTTGCATACACTTCTTTTTTACTTTCTGTACCACGACCGAGGAAAAGTATTTCGATCGCGAAAAATCGCGATGAAACGTTACTTTTTTACGGGGAACACGTTCCGACAACCCCCCGATCGTGTTTCGACTATGACAAATAACTTTATATATAACAAATGTATATAGAAATAATAATTATTCCTCGAGGAATAATATCAACGTTTACTGGCTCGATTCATCGTGTTTATGGAAGATCAACGGCGCGTGTACTGCCAACAACAGGCAGCAGTAGCTGAATGATAACGGCAACAAACATCGTTTCTGTTTACAGGTAATAAGAAACAATTACGAGCATAACGAACGTCTTGTTGGTAGCGTGAACGAATATTTCTCTTCGCTTATGGAGCAATTAGTGGAAGAGAAATACGTTACGAAATTACGATTTTATTTCTCTTTCGTTTCGCCCAAATCGTAGGTGCTTTGATCGATAATTTTCAACGTTAATAGGAAAGAAAAATTTTACCGTCGGAATACTTTTGCAATTTTATTTTTTCTCCGAACGTTCTATATATTTTGGGGTTTGTTCAATGATAACAAAGCTCTAAAAAATGTATTTTAAAAATCTTTGTTTGTCCATCCGTCTGAATGTTTGTCCCGCCATAAATCGAAAACGACTCGACCTATATCGATAAAATTTTTTACACCTGCAGAAAATCTTCCAACAATAAAAAAAATGTGTTTAACATTCGCTCGTTCGAATGCACTTAATTTTAGCAGATTTTAAAGATTTCCAATAAAACGTTTGAATACGAACGTTGCTAGAATCTTCTGGTCGTCCAAGTATATAAATACTATGATTTGCGAGGAAGAGTTTCAATCGATCCAGTGTCGCGACGATATCTCGATTAGCTATACACGATTCTCTTCGATAATAACGATAAGTATTCTCAAGATCAGCTCCTCTATAGATGGGATCGCATAGAACAAACAACAGTTGTCACATGATGCGAAAACATAGGAAGTTATCGTGGCAAAACACACCTTTCAAACTATCTACACGATCGTAAGTCATTTCACAATCCCGTTCAGTTAATACCGCCTCTAACGATCGTTATTTAACATCAACTCGTCAGACTACAAAAAATATCGTTTGATCGTTGCTCAACTCCTGCAAGTACGAATGTTAAATTGTATTCTAATTTCGTAAACCCTACCGATTCACCAAGAAGATCGATTACAACTTATTCCGAGAAATTCAATGCTCGAAGCGTGACAAACACGAGAATTAGAAACATAAAGGTGAGTCAAACTTCTAAATATTTTGCTACCCAATCTCATCTTCGAAGAATTCGTGCGACTGTCGTGCATTAATGTCTCACATAAGACATGTACAAATATTTTGGAATGTCTTAGTAAAAAAAAATTAATAGACCATAATTGTTAAATTTTAACAATCGATATATTAATATACACAAATGTTTAAGTTACCCAGATCTTTCTAGGAGTTGCATCACCTATTTTGGAAAACACTGGTCTAACTGTACCGAGCATATAATATTAATCAAGTTCAATTACTATAGCACTTCAGATTACTTTGTCTATGCTTTATCGCTTACGAAACATTGTTTACCTCGCGTCTGCAGTTATGTCTCCGATATAGTCAGCAGAAAAGCAGTCTGAAATTTGTCAATGAAAATTAACGTCGCAATAATTCTCGGCGCATGTGACATCGTCTCGATTAAAGAAAGTAATTATTTATGCGATACCTGAAATATAAATAGCTAACCTTTTCAATGTCACAGTCGGAGACGGTTGGTGGGGAGCAATCTGAGAACAGGGGCCCGTACAGCGTTCGAGCATAGACTGAGGAATGGTGGGAGACGGGGCCCTACGCTGACTCACCCCTTGGTACACGCATGCGCGCTTGGAACCTCGTTCTCGCTCGGCCGAACGATACTACGAATACATTGTGACGTAGTTTGTGAACAGTTTGTAATAAAAAAAATATTTAAATTATTATATACTCGTGTGTGCGTTGATGTCTGAAAAATCCAACATTCCTACCGGAAAGTCTGTCGTGTCTCCGTACAGGGAGCTACGCGGAACGAAAACGAAACATTTTCGCGCGTTCGGTCGCCGTTCCCTTAACGAAAGCTCGGGGTTAAACGCAAGCGGACGTGCAAACCGACGGTAACAATTGGTCAATTCGTCCGCGCCCAATTAGAGAATTGCAGCGATGAAAATACCGGCTCGTTCTTAATTCGATTCCGCCAATTAAGTCTTTCTCTCTCTAGGCAACGTTCGCGCGAGCCACGACTGCACAGAGCGTACCGTGTAAACTGTTACATCGACGACAGCGACAGCAAATTCTTTTTTAGCGTTGCAAAGATCGATTGGAACTTTTTCGGCCTATTTATAACGCAAGCGAGGAAAGTGGACGTTTAAAATTTCTTTAGGAATGGTTCCTGGACCCCCAAGATATCTATTTATAGCCCCCAGGGGGGCCCGTGGACTTATGCGCGGCGGCGATGGAAAGGGGGAGGAGGCTCGACAAAAACACGAGCACGGTCGACCGAGTCGCTGACTCGGCGGAGCAGAAAACATTCCAAAACACACGCCGGTCCGTTTCGTCGTCGCGTGGCTTCGAAGCGTTCCTACGAATTACCCAGCGACCCAATTCCCTTCGGGGAACTGGCTGTCGGTGGTGCTCGAGCACACTCGGGATCATCCTATTCCTGTTGTTCGACGCGAATTGGGTCAAAGTCATATCGTTGCAAAAACAACCGCGACCGTGAATCGAACATCTACGATTACATAATCGAATCGAGCCGTCGTACATGTTCGAAGACAATGTTTCGGCGAAACCGGAGACGGGCAGAATTTTATTCGTGTAATGGATGACTAACAGGAACTCCGTTAAACGGTTTGTTTGCTTCGTTTCGTTATCCGTAATTTTATGGTGAGATCAGAACGTTGCCCGTTTCGATACAACATGGCGTACGGATGGTGAGAAAAATTAACTTGAACCACTGTAAAATAACGATAATCAATGATATTAGAAAGAAAGTAGCATAGAACAGCGGATTCGTTTATAAACGGTTCTTTAACCGTCTAATGGAATAATTTCGTTTAAGCAGACGAGCCTCTATCAACGTCGGGAGCTTTATCAGTCGGCTGCTTATCAACGACTTCACGTGCCCCGTTGAACAGGTTTATGGCTCGGCTACTGGAAAACGCAAAACGAGTCTGTCTCATTTGCGTCGAATACGAAACGCATCGCGGTGCGTGTATGCATTTGTTCTTTTCCACGTATCGCGTGGGTCCTGTTCTCGGTTAACCCGTGATCGAACCAGCGCGCCGACTGCGTCGTTTCACGTTTCGACCAAGTCGTAACGAGACAAAGAGCTTGGAAAAGACGAAGCCGTGCAAACAGCGGGACGATTTTTCTCGCCGGGCTGCCCGTGGCCGAAGCTGCAAACGGGATTCGAGACACGTGTACCGATGGCAAACAGCGCTGATTCGTCGTTGGCGGGAATTTGTTTTACGCTGACTGCGCCGCGCATCCGCTACGAACAAGATTTCGAATGCAGACGAGTCTAATCTATATACAGGGTGTTTTACATTTACGACAGTCAAACACGATCAATTTTCGACCGTTCAAATTATTACTCGCGGTCCTTTGACACCCAAGGACATTCAGAATGTTGTGCAACCGGGACCACGAAATTTCCTCGATCGCAGCCGATTGCCCGGTTGAAGTAATTGCGAGTCGAGAGACAGAAATCGAGCATTCTGCACGCTCGAAACGGCGCGCCACTTTCACTTCATTCTTGCGAACAAAAACGACTTGTCGCCGTCGGTATTTCTTTCGTGACTATGTAATTGTCTCTGAAAGGAGACGTATTCGGTGTGTTTCTATTTGGAACGGTTCCAGAGATTCCTGGTTCATTAGGTTATCTTCGTCGGAGCGATATCTGGCTCCAAGAATACATGCATCTGGCATTTTCGAGCGACTGTTGAAGCGGCCATTGTAATCGCGAATAAACAGAGAATGAAAAACTGTTCCTCCACCATCGATAAGAAATTATTTTTTTACAACAAATTGTTAAATTTAAGAAAGCGTGGATACTTCGATAGATTCGATTTCTCTGGAGGAAGACGTGCCAGTGATCACGTAAATGGTCCATCCGACGTATCAAATAATGCCATCAAGGTCGCGTTGCGTCGAAACTTGGTTTATCTTTAGACTGACGTCCGTTCGTTCCTTCGAAATTTGTTTTCGAGACTTATCAGTGAAAATCCGCGACACTATTTCTAAGAAGCCTTTGCCCGACTACCAAACAACAAAGTCGACGCGCCATCACTGATTAGAATATCGATTCTTTCTACGAAAATCCACGTACGACGGAAGTTTCTTGGAAGTCGGGACAAAAATTTCTAAATTTCTTTTTCTGAAAGTAATTCGCGGAAATGTAACCGGTAGTAATTTTTGAACGGATCCAGGACCTGTGTACAATGCGGAGGAAGACTCGATGAGAGAAGTCTAGAGAGGAGCAGAAGCTCGACTCGTAAAACGAAGAGTTACTACCCCGAAGAACAATAAAACGACGGTCGAGCAACGTCGACGCAGACCACTTGGGAATTTCACGACGTCGTTACGGTACCGAGGCAACATGGCGGAAAGAAGAATAAACGCGCGGAGGCGATCGAACCTGATTGTTCCGTTGCGCAATTATACAGTGGTTGCACGACAGTGAAAGTCGTCGACCGATAAAAAGACGAATTATTTAATTGTACTTTTGGACCACGTGACGCGACACCATGATGCGACCACTGCGCCACCTATCCATGCGCAACAAGAACTATCACGAATTCTTTCTATAACCTCAATGGACCAAATATCATATACATTTTCTAAGTACAAAAATTGATTTCCACTTACCATTGAAACTTTA